TTTTGGTTGGAGAAATTGTTACATGAGTGAATTTTTATTTGAAAGTCTGTATTTGGCTGAGTGCAATAAAAGTGCAAAAAAATTGGTCTTATAGGCGTTTAAAGTCAATAAATTTTTATCTAACCATTGAGCTATTTGGGCCAAACCTTCTTGAGCAAAGCCATGTACTTCGTCCCATGTTGAACCAGAGAAAACTACAGCGGTGTCGTCAGCATATGAAAATAATTTACCATTACGAATATCCAAGTTACAAAGGTTGTTGATATAAATTAAAAAGAGAGTTGGTCCCAACACACTTCCCTGGGGGACACCATATGTTGTGTCTGCTAGCTCGCTAATACAGTCACCAACCCTAACACTCTGTTTACGATCACTCAAATAATCACACAGCAAAGCTAGGGGAGTACCCCTGATACCCACTGATTCCAATCTGCGCATAAGGATGGGGACAGAGACGGTATCGAAAGCCTTCTGAAGATCTAAAAAACTGTAATGCACTTTTTATTTCTATCGACTTTTTCAGTAATGTGAGACGTTAATGCACTTATAGCGTCATCTGTTGAAATCCCTCGCCTAAAGCCAAATTGTGAGTTAGATATTACTTGATATTTGTTTAGTAAGCTAATTAATCTGCTATTTATAATTTTTTTCTAATATTTTTGAAATAACCGGAAGAACTGATATGGGTCTGTAGTTACTGGCTTCGTCTCTATCTCCACCCTTATGTATCGGAGTGACGATAGCATGTTTGAGCGCAGTAGGAAAAATACCCTGTCTTATGCAGAGGTTAGCTAAGTGAGCAATGACGGGGGCTATTTCTTTGCCAACATGTTTCAGAAATTTCGTTTGTATACCATCCCAGCCCGCGGCACTATCCGATTTTAATCCCATTAAAATTTCATAAACATCATCCGGGTCAGTTTCTAATAAGACAAAGGAAGAAAATGGGTTTAAATCACTATAATTATCAGACAGTGTACCCCAATTTGTTTGACGCTTTAAAATATTGTTACGCGCTCCAATGCCTCAAATCGGCGTACTAGCGCCATCTAGTCTCGAACCGAAGAACTAAACTTCTTGAAGTTTAAAACTCGAACTCTCGGTACCTTGCGCGTGTTTACTTGAACATTCTGGATATTTTGCTAATTTATATAAGTAGGCGCTGCAAGATGCGATCGAAGTAGACTTGAACTCGGCGACACAAGCGAAGCTTCGGAGCGGAATTAAGTGAATTAGTGTGTTTAATCATTAGTGTTTTAAATTAAAGTGTTAATTTAGGTAATTTTATCGGCAATTTTTATTGTCACGAACCCTAAGCTCGTAACAATTGGTGTCAGAAGTGGGATAAAATAATGCCGATTTTACCTAAGGAGGAAACGGAGGGTGTCCGTACCCGAAGTCAACGCCAGCAGGAGACGGACCAACGAAGATTTGCTGGTGCAACGCCGCAGACGTCGGAGGGCCAGCCACCGGCTGCAGGCCCGTCGGTAGCTCCTACATCTGCAGCACCTGACTTAGGTGCTCTGATGGTGATGCTGCAGGAGCAGGTCCGTCAGTTGAAAGAGCAGCTGCAGAGCGGACAGGAGGAACAGGTCCGTCAGTTGAAAGAGCAGCTGCAGAGCGGACAAGAGGAACAGGCCCGCCGACAGGAGGAACGGATGCTCCTCATGAAGGACCTTCACGCTACCTTCGGGAAGGAGATAAAGGAGGTGAAGGATAGGGTTGCTCAGCATGACAACCGCCTGTCGGAAGCTGAAACCCAAATCGCGAAAGCTGAAAACCGAATCGAGAAAGCTGAAACCCGAATCGACCAAGTAAACAATCGGGTTGACAACGTAATGGCCGACATGAAGAAATCACTGGACGAACTCAAACTTGGAGATGGAACAACAGCTCCCGTAGTAGCTACAACACCTTCGCTACGTGGATTCAAAGTGCCGCCGTTCGACGGGACCTCTTCCTGGTCAGCCTACAAAATCCAGTTCGAGGCTGTTATGAAGGCGAACGGCTGGAATAAAAGTCAGGCCATGACTGCTCTCACACTAGGCCTGCGCGACCAGGCCTTAACATTTCTGGAAGCTCTCGGTGAGGAAGTGACATATGAGCAACTCCTTGAGGCATTGGAGGCGAGATATGGCGACGCTCACCTGGAACACGTCTTTCGTGCGCAGCTTAAAGATCGTGTGCAGCGCATCAACGAAAACCTGCAGCAGTGGGCTCTAGAAGTGGAGAAGCTGGTGCGAAAAGCATACCGGTCTGTACCTGCGCTCATTGAAGGGAACCTGGTGCAGACATTCATCGACGGCATCCGCGACCTGAAAGTCAGAGCTGCTGTGAGGCTCGGGCACCACGAGACGCTTAAGGACGCCTTGGCCCATGCACTGGAAGTGGAAGCCGTGCGGCAGGATCATCGTTCCCATCGCGTCAGGGAGGTTGCAGCAGCTACAGTTCGCGACCGCAACAAACGTGGTCAAAGTGGGCAAAGACGTGGTCCTTCACTGCTGACCGTATGAGGACGCTCAAGGTCGCTCAGCAGCTATGGAGAGGGCTATGCTCGGAGTTTAACCGCAGTAAAACAAGAGTGACCGACAAAGCCCAACGGATTTGTAAGCTGAAGTGGCAATGGGCCGGCCATATAGCTCGAAGAACCGATAACAGATGGGGAAGAAAGGTTCTCGAGTGGCAGCCTGGTACCGGTAGGCATAGTGTAGGGCGATCCCCCACTAGATGGAGTGACGACCTGGTAAGACATGCAGGAAGTCGGTGGATGCAGGTGGCTCAGGACCGTGCTTTGTGGCATTACTTGGGGGAGGCCTATGTTCAGCAGTGGACTTGTGAAGGGCTGTAATGATGATGATGATGATGAATAATTCTAATATAATAAAAGAAAACAAAGATAATCTCTAGGGGACTAAGTAAAAGGTACTAAAGCCAAATTAGTGGTTTTTCGAATTTTTGTCCGTCTCTCTGTCTGTCTGTCTGTGTTTCTGTTGTTTTTGTATGTCTTTCTGTCTGGCCATCCGTCTGTCTGTCTGTCTGTGTTTCTGTTGTTTTTGTTTGTCTTTCTGTCTGACCATCTGTCTGTCTGTCTGTGTTTCTGTTGTTTTTGTTTGTCTTTCTGTCTGTCTGTGTTTCTGTTGATTTTGTTTGTCTTTCTGTCTGACCATCTGTCTGTCTGTGTTTCTGTTGTTTTTGTTTGTCTTTCTGTCTGACCATCTGTCTGTCTGTCTGTCTGTGTTTCTGTTGTTTTTGTTTGTCTTTCTGTCTGACCATCTGTCTGTCTGTCTGTCTGTGTGGCCGTGGTAGGAAAAGGGGAGATCTCCCGCCGGGCAAGGTGTTGTGCCCGGGGAGCGGCCGACACTCCGAGTGATAGTTCGGAGAAGTTCTATATATACTGTCTATGATTCGGAATGTTCATAGCGTGATTTAAGCTTCGGTGTATTTTGCTTGTTGCGCGACGACAGCGCCGCTACATCACCCCCCTGCTCAGACCGGAGGTCGATAGTGCAGCCTCGTTGCCGAAGAATGTGCAAGTGCCAGGAGATTGCCTTGTAGTCTGCGGTGAGTCGAGAAGAAGGCAAGTAATCTGCGAGAGTGCCGTGAAGCAGAGGCGAGCAGTAAGGCTCAGAGCCGTGCCGCGCAACACTGTATGGCGCAGAGAGTAGCTTGAAGGAACAGGAAGCATTATTATTCCAGTGCTGCGATGAACCTTGTGAAGCTAGATGGCTTGCAGGATATGAAGACTGCAGACGATATCTGCTCGGGAGCGAATGGGTGGGGTATTCTATGACGATGATGAAGCTTGAAGTTTCCGAAGGTTGTTGGTTGCGTATTCAGATCACGTCGGTTAGTCACCACTGTGGCCGTGGAAGGAAAAGGGGAGATCTCCCCGCCGGGCAAGGTGTTCTGCCCGGGGAGCGGCCAACACTCCATGTGATAATTCGGAGATGTTCTATATATACTGTCTATGATTCGGAATGTTCATAGCGTGATTTAAGCTTCGGTGTATTTTGCTTGTTGCGCGACGACAGCGCCGCTACAGTCTGTGTTTCTGTTGTTTTTGTTTGTCTTTCTGTCTGACCATCTGTCTGTCTGTCTGTGTTTCTGTTGTTTTTGTTTGTCTTTCTGTCTGACCCTCTGTCTGTGTGTTTCTGTTGTTTTTGTTTGTCTTTCTGTCTGACCATCTGTCTGTCTGTCTGTCCGTGTTTCTGTTGTTTTTGTTTGTCTTTCTATCTGACCATCTGTCTGTCTGTCTGTGTTTCTGTTGTTTTTGTTTGTCTTTCTGTCTGACCATCTGTCTGTCTGTCTGTCTGTGTTTCTGTTGTTTTTGTTTGTCTTTCTGTCTGACCATCTGTCTGTCTGTCTGTGTTTCTGTTGTTTTTGTTTGTCTTTCTGTGTGCATCTGTCTGTCTGTCTTTCTGTTGTTTTTGTTTGTCTTTATGTCTGACCCTCTGTCTGTCTGTCTGTCTGTGTTTCTGTTGTTTTTGTTTGTCTTTCTGTCTGACCATCTGTCTGTCTGTCTGTCTGTGTTTCTGTTGTTTTTGTTTGTCTTTCTGTCTGACCATCTGTCTGTCTGTCTGTCTGTGTTTCTGTTGTTTTTGTTTGTCTTTCGGTCTGACTTGTCTGTCTGTCTGTCTGTGTTTCTGTTGATTTTGTTTGTCTTTCTGTCTGATCATATGTCTGTCTGTCTGTGTTTCTGTTGATTTTGTTTGTCTTTCTGTCTGATCATATGTCTGTCTTTCTGTCTGTGTTTCTGTTGTTTTTGTTTGTCTTTCTGTCTGACCATATGTCTGTCTGTCTGTCTGTGTTTCTGTTGTTTTTGTTTGTCTTTCTGTCTGACCCTCTGTCTGTGTGTTTCTGTTGTTTTTGTTTGTCTTTCTGTCTGACCATCTGTCTGTCTGTCTGTCTGTGTTTCTGTTGTTTTTGTTTGTCTTTCTGTCTGACCATCTGTCTGTCTGTCTGTGTTTCTGTTGTTTTTGTTTGTCTTTCTGTCTGACCATCTGTCTGTCTGTCTGTCTGTGTGTGTTTCTGTTGTTTTTGTTTGTCTTTCTGTCTGACCATCTGTCTTTCTGTCTGTCTGTGTTTCTGTTGTTTTTGTTTGTCTTTCTGTCTGACCATCTGTCTTTCTGTCTGTCTGTGTTTCTGTTGTTTTTGTTTGTCTTTCTGTCTGATCATCTGTCTGTCTGTCTATTTGTGTATTCACGATTCACTCTAAAACCACTGGACCGATTTCCAGGAAGTTTTCTATGTAGATAGTTAGTAACCCGGGGCAATTTATAGGCTAATTTTTATACGATTACGGATCTTCTAAAAGAAGTTTAAGTATTTTCCTTTCTGTTAGTTACAAGTATATGCAAGATGACGGGTGTTTTTTTCAAATACGTAACACATTTATAAATAATTTCTCAAATTAGTTTTAACCTTTGTTTAATAATTTGAAAGTACGCCGTTGATCTACATTTTTGTTTTCAAAATAACGCCATTTATTATCAAGTAGAAAAAGTACATTTTAACTTTTGTGACTAATATATTAATCTAATCATCATCATATTCATCAATCGACTCAAAATTAATTAGGTATACTTACATTAGTTTAAGAACTTAGTTATTAAGGTTAATTAATAACTCAAAATACACTCACCGGCACGGAAACTTGGCCAAGCGGTTATCTCGCGATAGCAAAAGCTTTAAGTGTTTCTGATGAATGTTTGTTATGCAAGTATGTCAAAAAATTTTTACCCTCAAGTTCAAGAGGGTAATTCATTATGTTTAAGTGCACCATGACGAATTCTTTAATTTTTAGTTGAATCGGGTCATTTGAGCGACTAAGTTCACATTTTAAATTTGTGTGTTGTGAAAAGTTTATTGTAAGGTTATTCAATTATTGTGATCTTGTGTCTTAATTAAATAACTAAAGGTGCTTTAAAGCCAATAAAAATGCCATTAACACCAGCACAAGTTGCACAAGCAGTAGCATTAATTGACCAAGGGCTGACACAGCGTGAAGTTGCTATTGTGCTTAACGTACCACGGTCCTCAATGCAGTATTCACTGAAACGATACCAGGAGACAGGCCGCTAAACCCGCAGGCCAGGCAGTGGGGGCGTAAGGTGCACATCGGCCCGGGACGATCGTTTTATTGTTATGGAGATTTTGAGAAACCGCTACCTGACCGCTGTTGAGATACGCCAGCGGCTCCAAATCGCAAGAGGCGTTAATGTTAGTGAGCGTACGGTGAGAAGACGAATGGAGGAAGTGAATTTAAAAGCTCGTAGACCAGCACGAGGTCCAGAACTTCTCAGACAGCACCGAGTAGCCCGACTTCAGTTCGCAAGAGAACATGTCAATTGGACCCACGAGCAATGGGCTAGAGTGTTGTTCACAGATGAGTGTCGAATAGCTTTACGTGCTCCAGACGGTCGAGAACGAGTGTGGAGAAAAAGAGGAGAGAGGTTTCTACCCATTACCACCACCCAAACTGTGAGTTTCCATGGAGGCTCAATAATGGTATGGGGAGGTGTAAGTTCCGACGCACGTACAGAGTTGGTCATCGTCGATAATCGGCTTACAGCTACTCGATACATCGAGGAAGTTCTTCAGGAGCACGTAATGCCTTATTCGGGATTCATTGGACACGACCAATTCCTCCTCATGCACGATAATGCACGCCCGCACGTCGCACATTGTGTAGAGGAATATCTGGAAGAGGTTGGAATACAAAAATTACAGTGGCCAGCTCGTAGCCCGGACTTAAATCCAATTGAGCATGTATGGGGTATGCTCAAAAGAAAGATAAAGTCCAGCTCCAAACCGCCACAAACTCTAAATGAGCTCCGAAATGCAGCGCTGGCCGCTTGGGACAGCATACCGCAAGTTGATGTCAGAAACATCATTCAAAGCATGCCAGATCGAATGCAAGCGGTTATCAGGGCTAGAGGAGGAAACATCCGATATTAAAACTGATAGACAATAAAGAAACAGACTTAATTTTTAACTTTGTAGTGTTTTTAAAGTGACAATGGAAAGATGTTAATTTTAGTGAAAACATGTTATCTTGAAAAGAAAAATTTCGGTGAAGTAAACATTAAATTTCTATGTTCTAAAACCATTAGAGACACTTATTGAATGCATCTACCCTTAATTTACTGTTAAAAAAACGTTTCAGTGCAAATAATCAGCAAATTCACGAGTGGCCAAGTAATTACAAAAATATGTACTTAGATACACTTACATTAATTCAAGAACTTAGTTATTAAAGTAAAAGAAAAAGGTTTATTATTTTTTCTTTTTAGTTTTTTCGGCGGTTTAATTTTTCGGTAAAAAGTTTTTGTTAAATCATTTTTTGTGGCTATAATCTACTGATTGCTACATGCGTAAGTTTTGATTACTTTTAAAATAACTACTTACCTTACTTTAGCTATTAACTTTTATATATTATTTGTTTAAAGCTGTAATTGACCTCGGAAAGAAAGTGTTTGCCAAATGGCAGGCATATGTGGCACTGAGTAGAGTAAAAATACTTGAGGGTATTGCTTTGTCTGATCTAGAGCCAAATAAGGTATTACACAAACCTCACGATGAACGAGCTTTAGCAGAAATGCAGACCAATTTCGAGGAATAATAAAAAAGAATTACCTAAATTGTACTATGCTGCAATAAATCACGCCTATTTTTTCACCCTTAGGGTAAAAAAATTTCCATTAAAAAAAGAATTATCAAAACCAGACTACTCTGTAAAAAGTAGTGCGTGGTCACACATAAAAAAATATACCTACGCGTTAACTTGAGAACCTCCTCCGTTATTTCCTCGGTTGAAAACAAGAACAACTTTTTACCACCCACAATCCGATGGAATGGTAGAACGATTTAATCAGACATTGGAGAGGTACCTAGCAAATGTTGAGTAAAATCGGCAACGAGATTGGGACAAGCACATATAACCATTTTTGTTGTCATATCGAAGCGCTGTTCTTGAAAGGACATCGATGACCCAAGCTTTCGGAAAACTTTGGAAGAGAATTACGGCTGCCTGCAGACCTGATCATCGGAATTCCACCTAATGTCCCACATATTATAACCGATTATGCAAATTACTTGCGGAACAAAATGAATGACATTTATGAGCACGTCAGACAATCGGGCCACTGTACTACTGATCACCTTAAGTGATCAGTAGTACAGTTGTGTTTTATTATTAGTGTATTTTGAGTTATAATTGGTGTTTGGTAATTAAAGTGTAAATTTTGGTAATTCAATCGGCAGTTTTTATTGTCGGGAACCCCAAGCTCGTAACAATAGTAATAAGGTTATTTGTGAAAACTTATGTGTACCTATTTAAAATACTTTATTACTTAATAACATAAATGCTGAAGGCATTTGGATTTACCAAAAGTTTTTTTTATTTTTTCAACAAATCTTTGTTATGGATTTCAAAGATGGTTTATGAGAACTTAGATATTATGATTACTATAGAAAAAAATTGCATAGTAGGCTCTAATTAGTTACATTTCTCCATGACATCAACAATGTTTTTTACGGATAAGTTCATGGAATTATTTTAAGGTATAAATTTTATAATAACTAATTACTAATTAAATTTTTAATAGAGACATCTATCGAAAATTATAAATTTTCGATCGATTCGAAGAGATTGCGTAGGTAGAAATACATATCTATTATGTTTTAATAATACTCTTGTAATAACAAGAGTATTATTAGTATAAGATCCCGATATAAAACGACCTTCACCGAGATGCTTATTTAATGAAACGTATTTTATATTTAATTTAATATGTCAATAAATATAATCCATATGGGTTGCCTAGCAAATTTCAGTCCAGAGTATGTTTAATTAATAATTAAAAAAAAATATTTTTTTAAACATTTCACCGGTATGATTATTAGATAAATTCTATACCAATCGAAAGTATGAAGCCCATAGAATATGCAAACGTTAGGTTGCCTATTCTTTTCCGGTTACAACTATAGGGTTGCCAGGTATAAACAGGTAAATCTGTACTAGCATTTTGCAACGGTCTGTTTATTGAATGAAATTTAAATGAAATTAAAGATTATTTTATTCTGTACACGGTGGTATAGGGTTGCCTGCGAAAAATCAGTCCAGAATTGCGGTTGTCGAATTTTAAAAAGTAAAATATTGCTCCGAGTGAATGTGAGGTCCCAACCGACCATCCCATGCGATAGAAGAGGACACAGCATAGCAGCTGTTTAAAGTCCGCCCACTTAAAGAAAGAGAATGCGCATGCTATTTGGGCTTGGAAAAGAAAAGGATAGCGATAGACTCGTATATACTATGCATGATTTTGGAGTAGAGTGTCGCTATAAATACAATTGAAAAAACGTGCTACTATCTATTGTTGGAAAAAATGACAAAAAAGTGTTTTTTGTGTGGATCGGATGATGAAATAATTGATTTTAATGATGAAATACTTTTAAAAACTATTATGTGTATTAAAATTAGCTTTTCGTAAAAAAAAACACTTTAAATACAATTTTGTTGAGCTACACAGTGCGTCTCTTCAATTTGTAGGTTATACCACGTGCTACAAAAAAGTGATCGTTTTGAATAAAAAATATAACGAAGAATTTCTTAATTTTAGTGCTGAATATACAGTAAGTACATAATAATTGAGTCTTTAAAATAAAATAAATATATTATCTTAGCTAATACATCTTCTATATTTTTTTTTCATGTTTAAATAATTGTTAGCAAAATTCACCTATGGTTTTGTTAATTTTCAACACACATATTTTTTTTTGTAATTTACTTAAAAACGGTAATTTATAAATTAAACAAGAAAATTATCTGATTTCCTTTTTTTTTGTAACAATTAATGAGGATGTTTTCAATCAACTATTCTTATCAAAAAGTTTATTAATCGCAAAATTTTTTTTTAGGAGCATACCAATGTATCTACTACTGAAGAAGAATCAAAACAGTTGAACCCTAGTATCGATTCCTGTGCTACAGTTTCTGAAG